ATCTAACTTGACTCCTCACGAGCTTTCCGATATCCCGACGATGTTGGTACTGTTGCTCGCCTCACCCTGCTTCTTCTCATTATCCACTTCTGCTAGAATATCCTCAACCTGGTGAGTGAGAAGGGGTCAATCTCGTCGTTACTTCCTAAGGTCTTTGCCCTAGGCAAACTCCTTACTAAACTCATTATTAGGGGAAAGCATTCCTAGCATGAAAGTCGTTCTCGCCTTAAGGCTCTTAAATAACCATTCTTATCAACTCATTTCAACATTAACTCATAAAAGTTCTCGACCTCTATCCTTATATCAACACAAAACACTAGGACCACCGCGTTACGTCTCGTCGTCCAGTGTCCTACCCTAGGATGCCAACCGCGTTACGTCTCGCCGTCCGGTTGCATACCCAAACTCGGCAATGGCACTGCGTTACGTCTCGTCGTCCAATAGTGACCCAACCGCCAGGGGGTTCCTCATACCATCAATCCATACATCATCACATACATTCATACATAGCACAATGCGTGCCTCCACCCTTACAGGCGGTGGGATGCCTCACATACATATCGCGCATACTAGAAAATTAACTAAATAATAACGGAAATAAAAGACATAAACTAAAAGACCTACGACAGAGATTTTACCACCTTTACACTCACCTCTTTAGTCTCATCAACGTCTGCATTCTCACGCTCAAGCCCCGCGCGTTTTTCCTCTTTTGGCTCCTCCTCTCGTCTTCCTCTTCAACGACCCTAACCATTGGAGCTCCGCCGCCATTCTCTTCAAGGTCCCTCCTCGGCTTACAATTTAGAGGCCAACTACGAAATGCTGACACCCCGGGTCGTCTGGGAGGATAGGGTCAGGGCCTCTCCATCACTTTACCCCCGCCAGTTGCGATCACCGATGTCGAGTTCTCGGCCTTCCTTCCGCCTCTAATAGACGCGGCTCTTCCCCTCCTACTAATCGGTGTGAATCTCTTCATCACGCGAGACTACGAAGTTTGATCGGATGCTTACTTTCTCGCCTTCTTTCCCTCCTTAGCCGGATTATTCCCAGGAAACCTATTAATAAGAAATTCATACTCTAAGACAACCTTTCTCGATTTAAAATCCTCCTTTTTATCAACCCAAACACCCTCTACTCAAAGTCCCATCCTCAAACCTCACTCCAAAGGTCCCTTAACCCCCTTTAAAATTTTTCTAGAAATACTGCCTTCAAAACCGACTGTATTTCTTAATTATTTTTATCTTGGATGAATTTTCTACCTAACTTGAACCTTCTTAAAAATTCAGATAATAATTTTCATACATTAATCATAAGTACTTATACCCTGGAAAATTATAAAAATCTTATATAATCCTCGAAAATATTTTTATTTAATTAAAACGAATGTTAGAATAATTTCTAAAAATAGAAATAAATCTTCAAAAATCCCCAAATTAAATTACAGCCATCTCCTAGACCTCCCTCAATTTATAAAATTATTAAAGACAGGAACAAACACCCATAGGGACTCGAAACAAATTAAAACATCTAAAACGAGTTTTTGAAAATTTCCAGCAGCTTTAGTGACCACACAACTTTTGTCACTAAAAGTCTGAATGTCTGTTGCTAAAACCTCAGAATTGCACCCTCACAAAAAATCACCAACTCGATCGATCTAACTCAAAGGGATCAAGTTCCCTTACCTCTAGAACGTGCCTAGGCCTAGGTTGGATGACCCGGGACGTTGATCTCCTTGTTGATCGAACCCTCAACGTCACCGCTAATAAAAATACGAGCTTTGGATTAGACTATCGATAAATCGAGTTTAGAAATCGCGAAGGGGTGCGTGATCCTTACCTAGAACGAAAGGGATGGGGTCAGGGTCGGGATCGGGATCAGGGTTAGGTGGACGCTCTCTTCTCATCCTTTTTTTTTTCTTCTTCTTCTCTCTTCTCCGCGGCGCGGGTGCTGTTGCTGCTTGGCGGCGGGATTATTTCTCTGCCAAAATAAGTGGAGAGGGCGGGGTGGGAATCTTGTTGGGGCGTGGGGTTAAAAGGGTTTGAGAATTATTTGGGTTTTTGCAGGTGGAGGGCCGCCGGCCATATGGGTCTGTATATATGTAATTTTTTTTAATTATAGTAATAATAATAATAATAATAATAATAATAATTATTATTCCTAATCCGCGGTTGTAACTCTTAGTACTTAACCGTCAATCCAACCGATCACGTATTAAGGTCGAACCTAAATCTAAATTATCGGGGTGTTACATTTCCTCCACCCTTACAAAAAATTTCGTCCCCGAAATTTGCTCGGAACTCATCCTTCAATCAACACCCTTCTTATACTTCCTTCCCACGATCATCTATTCTTACTATAACAACTTCGTTGGTAAACCTTTGCACAAATAAGTTTCCTTAGCTTGCAGCACTCGTGTAACCATAAGTGTCTCAGTGCCCTTTTTACTTCCCAGCTTGATCCAAACACGGTGAAATAAAATGCCAATTCGGCTTGTCATGTTGATCCAATTCTCCTGGTAGTTGACGTTGAATCTAAATCTAAAATCAAGACATCACATTTCCCCCCTCCTTAAGAAGAATTTCGACCACGAAATTTGTTCGTTGTGACGACTCCAAGTTTCCCTTGTGATAATCTCCTTGAAAGGAGTTGTACCTCCTTCTAGCCTTGATGTATTGATCCCATGACATCTTGTTAGGCTCCCTATGATGTACTTAGTTCTTCCTTTGCTTGCTTAGGTGGCCCTAGTATTTTTCAAAGTCTAACTTTCAGCTGCTCCTTGGGGTTGTAGCCCTATGTTCAATTCTCCTGAACTCCACGACCCTTCCTTGCACCCTTTCCCCTCGATTATGGCGACATTTGCCATAACTCCTTGGCTCTACCAGTCGAAGTACTATCTGCTTGGCTCCTTCCAGAATCTTATTCTGATAAGCTCACATCCCCATAGAATATGAGCTACCTTGACCCTCCTCTTCTCACTCATGAAGGGGTTTCACTAAACGATCCTTCTAGGAACCTTCTCCTTCTCCTTCCCAAGACGTATCATACCCCCTGGGGCATCCTAAAGTTATTTCCTTATCATGGTGACTCACTCCTACTGTCACTCTAGAAAATGGCCAAGTGAAACCACTTCCTAAAGCGTAGTATAGCGGGTTTAGGTTTTAATGTCAACCCGGGTCCTAGATATGATGACTACTCAGTGAAATCGTATTATCTAGCAATGAAACTTTAGTGAAGGTCTAAACTAATCAAGCAAGCAAAGCAACTAGGCGGTTGTTTTCAGGTTAAGAGAGGTCACCCGGATATGGTTCCCCCTAGACTGTAGTTAAACCGTATTGCAATTTACCAAGTTCAATTTCTATGATAGTTATACTGCGGAAGGTTCTCAAACAGTCTGAAGTCTCGACTAAAGGTCTCCAGACCCTCTCAATCTGAGTCTTTAGCGGGCGACTAACCTCCACCGGAGTAAACAGATTGAGGCCCTAACGAACAAAACCTCCTCTACCGAAGTAACTTCGGTACAGAATAGTGAATTGGCTCCTCGACTAAAGTCACAAATTCACTACCTTCAATTAAGGGTGCTCTATCAACATAGGCAGATATTCTCATTCTAGGTTAAAGCTGAAACAACAGGAATTTGATCAGGATTCATGCCATTCAATCATTCAAACCTCAATCGAATATAATCAAATCATAGAAACAGTACTTGTATTCATACAATCAAACCTAACATACAGATCTAGGGTTTCCCATACCCAGATGAATGGGAGAACTACTCCATGGAGAAAGAAGCAAAAGCAGATTCAGACGCGGAAATCATACTGTGAAGGATGAATTTCTGCTCCCAGACGTTGACCGGCACTTCTCCAAGCTCAAGCCAAGCTCCAATGGTGATGAAGATCAAGCTAGGGCACTTGGAGACTCTTGTTCGTCGCTTTCTCTCTCTAGGAATTGCTCTGTCTCTCTAAAACTCGAATCCCCCCTCTTTTGGCTGAAAAACTGCCTAAAAGGGCATCACTGGCCAGAACACGGTCGAGGGCACGGCCGTGTTCTGCTCCAGCCCGCCCGTGCCCTCTGCCACGTCATAAATACACGGGCACGGTCTGGGGGAAAACACGGGCGTGTTTGAAGTAGGACACGGCCGTGTTTTGAATTGACCCCGCCCGTGTTTTGGTCTTTTCTTCATTCAACTCTCGGCAGTAAAAGCACTGGCGGGCCCTTTGGTGTACACGGCCGTGTTCTTCAAGCCTCCTACCCGTGTTTTGGTCATAGCTCGACCAAACGACTTCCAAATGCCCCGAAACTCGTGCTTGGCCTTCCCTTCGACGCCTGGGTCCTGAAATATGACAAAGTAGCACAACCCGGAGTAAAATAGGCCAAAACACACAACTATGCCCCGCAAATGGGTAAGAAATAGGGGTATAAAAACATGCGATTACACCGTTATCACATGGTTAGAGTATACTGGAGATTCTAAAAATTTCCGAAAGACTCTGACTCATTTGGCCAAACTTTTAACTGACACTCCCTTTTTCCTTTCCTTTTAAAAACTGAAACCTATAAAAAATACACAGATCGTCACTCCAGTATTCCTTGGAGGCCAAGGAACAGAGGAGTGTCGGCTCTGATACCAAAATGACACGACCCGATCCTTTTTGAAAACCAAACCACAACTCAAACCAAAATCGGTTATTCCGGAGCAACCCAAACTACATTTTAAAATAAACAAACTGACATTACTTAAGAATTTTTAACGAAAAGCCCCAACACTTGGGCAAAATTTGTAACACCCTACCCTATACGTATTGCCTGATCATATTGTTCATACAATTGCAGCGGAAATAATCTCAGGTGTTACATTAATTACCAAAATTTACCCAAATAATATTTCGACATGAATTACTCGCGTAATGGGCTAACAGTTCTTGCAACTAGACCTGCAAAATAATTCATCTGAGTCCCTGCATTCGTAGACATACATATATACTCACAACCATGTACAATGGCTTTCATAGCTATAGTCACACTTTCGTAGTCTGCAACTACATACCATACTTATACATGTCATCATCATCACTACATACACCACCACACACATATACACATATAATCAACTTTCCACGCCTGTGGATATCTCACACTACATCAGAAGCTAGTATGCACATGAAAAACGTTCTCAAAACATTTTTACAAAAAGGTGTGGATCACTGGCCAAAATCCCGAGTAGTAGTCCAAGCACAGAATAGTTGAAGACCATACCTCATCCTGGCTTCAACTCTAGCTCCTCTCCCACCTAACACTTATCTACTGCTGCTACTGATGATCTGCTTACACATAGCATAAGCAGAGAAGAAGAATAAAAGAGGGTCAGCTCATAGCTGAGTGAGATAATCATAGCATCGTGAGTTCATAACAAAGCATACCCCTACCATACATCTAGCAAACAAGCCAAAACACTAGGATCGGACCTCAGCCATCCTCATATCCCAATGGGCAAAAGACTCAACCACTTTGACTTATGCATATGCGTCTTATCATGTTTTACTTATGGGCGCCTGGCTACTCCCATGCTAATAACTCTCCCGGGAAACATACCCCACATCCCGTCGGATGTAGTCATACATACCCCAACATCCCGTCGGATGTGGTCATACATACCCCACACCACTATGGGTGTATTCATACCCCGACACCGCTCTAGGTGTGGTCATATCTCATAAGAAATCTTCAGTCACCACCACAAGAGAGGTGTGACTATCATACATATCATAATAGAGTAATAGCATAGGGAGCCCTAATTACTATGTAGTTGACCGTGAGACCACAACACTCATATTTGGTATCCTTATACATGATTCATATCTCATCTTGCTTAATCATAATTCGTTACTAGCACATGTACTTGACCTGGCCATAATTGGCTCAACATAGGTAAACCAGGAGTCGTATAATTGCACTTCATCGGAATAAACCCTCGTGCAAGTCATCCTCCTTAAATATCATAATATCACCATGAGATATATATTTTCCCACTTGTACATCCAAATACATCAATCATGAATGTCATACCCAATCACCTTTTCGAACCATCATAAGGCATATCAACAGTCAAGCCCACAATTTGCAACATATACGAAATCATCAGCATAAACAAGGTTCATATCGATTAGGGCAAGTCAATAATATCATACAGCAATCCAGGGTTCAACATATAGCACGAAAGTTCATACACCCCTAATCATGCCATTCTAGTTCACCTAGGTCAATTCTAAGCATCAACATAATTATCGTGATACGACAAACCCGGTATGCCGTGCTAATCCCTCACCAGTTCTGGTCGTTCAAACACCGGTTCTAGCCTCCCGTACTAAAACGTCAATTTCACGAACGAACCCCGAATTAAAATCCGAGACCGTCTTAATATCCCCTCGCTGCAGGAAGCTCGTATATGAAATTTGGGCTCAATCCGGCTTCCAGATACTCCAAAACCCTAATTTGGCTTATCGGGAATTCAAGAAATTCGGGATTTTTGGATCAGTGTAGCTCAAGAATCGAGCCTTGCAATTTACTTCCTCGCGTCCCCTAAGAGCCTCTGCTCTCGGTCCAGAAAATAGAATGGAAGAAGATGATAATGGACGGGGTGCGGGGAAGTTAATATATATGGCCGGCCAATTAATTAATTAATTAATTAATATATATATATATATATATATATGAAATATATTATATATATAATTAATACGTATACTTATCCGATCGATCGATAATCCGATTTTCGTCGAAATACTATCAAAACGCTCGATTTTAAATCGCGAACTTTCTAGCGATCGAAATATGGGTTTTGCCGGAACGGGATGTTACAATTCTCCCCTCCTTAAAAAGATTTCGTCCCCGAAATCTAACCTTGAGTTTTACCCTAAGTCCGCTTACTTACCCTTGACATGGTCTATCGTAAATAAACCATTACCTAACTCTTAGGTTAGGTGATTCATAACATAGAAGGTAACACATAACACCTCAAGTTCCCAATATAAGGTTTCAAAAACCTATATCGGATTATCACAACAAAAGCACATCAACAAGTTCAAAACATAACTTACTAAGCAAGATTGTTAACCTAGCCACCACAACATCAAGAATCATATCCATATTAAAACTCCACCACAACAACTCGTCATGTTAGCATAGTCGAAGACCAACTGCATTGCATAGCTAGGCACCGTGCTTCTCGATCAGTTAGTAGTAACACTAAAAGTAATTCTGTGCATACTACAAGGAAACATTGGCCTTAGTTTTATCCACACACCATTTGTGTCTAACCAAGTTACTCACTTGGTTGAAACAAAACTTTCTTCAAAATCATTACTTGAACAACAAGATAAAAACTCCACATATTTTCAAAAATCTCTTAAACCATAAAATTTTCAAGATTCCTTCAAATACTCAAAATCATGCTTAACCATATGCAACTGACTATCCAACACATCATCACCTTTGGTCCCTATCCTGGAAAGTTTAGTGCAAGTACAGGTATGGAGTACTCCCTCCCCTTTTGAGGGTGATCAGTCCTCAAGGGTGAAAGTAACACACCGATAATGCAGAAAACAAACCAGCTCTGATACCAAACTGTAACACCCTACCCTATACGTATTGCCTGATCATATTGTTCATACAATTGCAGCGGAAATAATCTCAGGTGTTACATTAATTACCAAAATTTACCCAAATAATATTTCGACATGAATTACTCGCGTAATGGGCTAACAGTTCTTGCAACTAGACCTGCAAAATAATTCATCTGAGTCCCTGCATTCGTAGACATACATATATACTCACAACCATGTACAATGGCTTTCATAGCTATAGTCACACTTTCGTAGTCTGCAACTACATACCATACTTATACATGTCATCATCATCACTACATACACCACCACACACATATACACATATAATCAACTTTCCACGCCTGTGGATATCTCACACTACATCAGAAGCTAGTATGCACATGAAAAACGTTCTCAAAACATTTTTACAAAAAGGTGTGGATCACTGGCCAAAATCCCGAGTAGTAGTCCAAGCACAGAATAGTTGAAGACCATACCTCATCCTGGCTTCAACTCTAGCTCCTCTCCCACCTAACACTTATCTACTGCTGCTACTGATGATCTGCTTACACATAGCATAAGCAGAGAAGAAGAATAAAAGAGGGTCAGCTCATAGCTGAGTGAGATAATCATAGCATCGTGAGTTCATAACAAAGCATACCCCTACCATACATCTAGCAAACAAGCCAAAACACTAGGATCGGACCTCAGCCATCCTCATATCCCAATGGGCAAAAGACTCAACCACTTTGACTTATGCATATGCGTCTTATCTTGTTTTACTTATGGGCGCCTGGCTACTCCCATGCTAATAACTCTCCCGGGAAATATACCCCACATCCCGTCGGATGTAGTCATACATACCCCAACATCCCGTCGGATGTGGTCATACATACCCCACACCACTATGGGTGTAGTCATACCCCGACACCGCTCTAGGTGTGGTCATATCTCATAAGAAATCTTCAGTCACCACCACAAGAGAGGTGTGACTATCATACATATCATAATAGAGTAATAGCATAGGGAGCCCTAATTACTATGTAGTTGACCGTGAGACCACAACACTCATATTTGGTATCCTTATACATGATTCATATCTCATCTTGCTTAATCATAATTCGTTACTAGCACATGTACTTGACCTGGCCATAATTGGCTCAACATAGGTAAACCAGGAGTCGTATAATTGCACTTCATCGGAATAAACCCTCGTGCAAGTCATCCTCCTTAAATATCATAATATCACCATGAGATATATATTTTCCCACTTGTACATCCAAATACATCAATCATGAATGTCATACCCAATCACCTTTTCGAACCATCATAAGGCATATCAACAGTCAAGCCCACAATTTGCAACATATACGAAATCATCAGCATAAACAAGGTTCATATCGATTAGGGCAAGTCAATAATATCATACAGCAATCCAGGGTTCAACATATAGCACAAAAGTTCATACACCCCTAATCATGCCATTCTAGTTCACCTAGGTCAATTCTAAGCATCAACATAATTATCGTGATACGACAAACCCGGTATGCCGTGCTAATCCCTCACCAGTTCTGGTCGTTCAAACACCGGTTCTAGCCTCCCGTACTAAAACGTCAATTTCACGAACGAACCCCGAATTAAAATCCATGACCGTCTTAATATCCCCTCGCTGCAGGAAGCTCGTATATGAAATTTGGGCTCAATCCGGCTTCCAGATACTCCAAAACCCTAATTTGGCTTATCGGGAATTCAAGAAATTCGGGATTTTTGGATCAGTGTAGCTCAAGAATCGAGCCTTGCAATTTACTTCCTCGCGTCCCCTAAGAGCCTCTGCTCTCGGTCCAGAAAATAGAATGGAAGAAGATGATAATGGACGGGGTGCGGGGAAGTTAATATATATGGCCGGCCAATTAATTAATTAATTAATATATATATATATATATATGAAATATATTATATATATAATTAATACGTATACTTATCCGATCGATCGATAATCCGATTTTCGTCGAAATACTATCAAAACGCTCGATTTTAAATCGCGAACTTTCTAGCGATCGAAATATGGGTTTTGCCGGAACGGGATGTTACAAAATTCTCAATCTTAAACACTTAAAACGACTTAAAACAGAATGTCCAGTTTATTCTAATAACCATGAAACATAATAATTAACTAATCTAACTTGACTCCTCACGAGCTTTCCGATATCCTGACGACGCTGGTACTGCAGCTCGCCTCGCCCTACTTCTTCTCATGATCCACTTCTGCTAGACTATCCTCAACCTGGTGAGTGAGAAGGGGTCATTCTTGTCGTTACTTCCTAAGGTCTTTGCCCTAGGCAAACTCCTTACTAAACACATTATTAGGGGAAAGCCTTCCTAGCATGAAAGGCGTTCTCGCTTTCTGCTCTTAAATAACCATTTTTATCAACTCATTTCAACATTAACTCATAAAAGTTCTCGACCTCTATCCTTATCTCAACACAAAACACTAGGACCACAGCGTTGCGTCTCGCCGTCCGGTGTCCTACCCCAGTATGCCAACCGCGTTACGCCTTGCCGTCCGATTGCATACTGAAACTCGGCAATGGCACTGCGTTACGTCTCGCCGTCCAGTCCATGCCCGTCAACTACTGTGTTTCGTCTCGCCGTCCAGTAGTGACCCAACCGCCCGGGGGTTCCTCATACCATCAATCCATACATCATCACATACATTCATAAATAGCACAACGCGTGCCTCCACCCTTACAGGCGGTGGGATGCCTCACACACATATCGCGCATACTAGAAAATTAACTAAATAATAACTGAAATAAAAGACATAAACTAAAAGACCTACGACAGAGATTTACCCCCTTTACACTCACCTCTTTAGTCGCATCAACGTCTGCATTCTCACGCTCAAGCCTCGCCCATTTTTCCTCTTTTGGCTCCTCCTATATCGGTTCATCGTCTTCCTCTTCAACGACCCTAACCATTGGAGCTCCACCGCCATTCTCTTCAAGGTCCTTCCTCAGCCCACAATTCAGCGGCCAACTACGAACTACCGACACCCCGCGTCGTCTGGGAGGATAGGGTCGGGGCCTCTCCATCACTTTACCCCCGCCAGTTGCGATCACCGATGTCGAGTTCTCGGCCTTCCTTCCGCCTCTAATAGACGCGGCTCTTCCCCTCCTACTAATCGGTGTGAACCTCTTCATCATGCGAGACTACGAAGTTCGATCGGCTGCTAACTTTCTCGCCTTCTTTCCCTCCTTAGCCGGATTATCCCAGGTAACCTATTAATAAGAAATTCATACTCTAAGACAACCTTTCTCGATTTAAAATCCTCCTTTTTATCAACCCAAACACCCGCTACTCAAAGTACCATCCTCAAACCTTACTCCAAAGGTCCCTTAACCCCCTTTAAAAATTTTCTGGAAATACTCTCTTCAAAACCGACTATTTTTCTTAATTAATTTTATCTTGGACGAATTTTCCACCTAACTTGAACCTTCTTAAAACTTTGGGTAATAATTTTCCTACATCAATCATGAGTACTTATACCCTGGAAAATTATAAAACCTTTATAAACTCCTCGGAAATATTTTTATTTAATTAAAACGAATGTTAGAACAATTTCTAAAAATAGAAATACATCTTCAAAAACCCCCAAATTAAATTACATCCATCTCCTAGACCTCCTATAATTTATAAAATTATTAAACCCAGGAAAAAACACCCACAGAGACCTGATACAATTTAAAACATCTAAAACGAGTTTCTGAAAATTCCCAGCAGCTTTAGTGACCACCCAACTTCTGTCACTAAAAGCCTGAAGGTATGTTGCTAAAACCTCATAATTGCACCCTCACGAAAAATCACCAACTCGATCGATCTAACTCAAAGGGATCGAGTTCCCTTACCTCTAGAACGTGCCTAGGCCTAGGTTGGATGACCCGAGACGTTGATCTCCTTGTTGATCGAACCCTCAACGTCACCCTAATAAAAATACAAGCTTCGGATTAGACTATCGATAAATCGAGTTTAGAAATCGTGAAGTGGTGCGTGATCCTTACCTAGAACGAAAGGGATGGGGTCGGGATCGGGATCAGGGTGAGGTGGACGCTCTCTTCTTCTCCTCCTTTTTTTCTTCTTCTTCTTCTCTCTTCTCCGCGGCGCGGGTGCTGCTGCTGCTTGGCGGCGGTATTATTTCTCTGGCAAAATAAGTGGAGAGGGCGGGGTGGGAATCTTGCTGGGGCGTGGGGTTAAAAGGGTTTGGGAATTATTTGAGTTTTTGCAGGTGGAGGGCCGCCGGCCATATGGGTCTGTATATATGTAAATTTTTTTTAATTATAGTAATAATAATAATTATTATTATTCCTAATCTGCGGTTGTAACTCTTAGTACTTAACGGTCAATCCAACCGATCACGTATTAAGGTCGAACCTAAATCTAAATTATCAGGGTGTTACAGCTAGTGTGAATGTGATGCCCTACAGGCTTTTCAAAAAGTTAGAAGTAGGTGAACTTAAAGCCTCTAAGCTTAGCATCACCTTAGTCGACCGACTTCGTGATTCTCGACATAAGTGAGGACTCGGATATGCCCCTCATCCTCGGTCGTCCCTTTCTTGCAACCGCCAAGGCATTGATAGATGTTAATGAGGGAACCCTAATTTTGAGGGATGGTAAGGAGAGAATCAAGCTTGAAATTGATCCTAGGGTGAGGAGTGATGAAGTGAAGGGGGTAGTTTCAAATGATGTGAATGAGAGTGCAGGAGATCAACCTAAGGCAAACCCCACCATTACTTGTGTTGTCTTTGATGATGAGGAGAAGGAATGTGAGAAGTGTCCTAAGCCTAAAGGACCAAGATTGAATGCTTGGAGAAGAAGGATGAAGGGACCTTTGACCCGAAAGACGGGGGAGCCCAAAGCAATGATGGCCAACCAAGAGGGCCAACTCAAGGAGCCTAAGATGGGAGGCTACAAGCCTCGCCCCGAGAGTGTGGTGGATCCGCTCTCGGTGGCACCACGATTGAAGTCGTGATTGATCCTCAACCGTCAAGCTAATGACGATAATCAAGAGCTTGTTCGGAGGCAACCCAATGGAGGTTTGTTTTCTTTTCCTTAGTTTTCATTTTAGTGTCTTGTGAAGGGTTCGAGTGGTGAAGTGGTGTCCCCGTGCCGAGTGTTGTGATTTTTTCGGCTTATGGTTGTGTTGTGAACGATTAGAAGGCTTAGAGGAGTACGTTGAGTCAAAAATTTTGCAGAAGTGCCCTGTTTTCACTTCAGTTCACGGACAGATTGCTGAGTTCACGGTTGCTAAGACCGTGAACAGGAAAACGCATCCGTGAACTGGGCGTTGATGCATGTTCACCACCTGTCAACCCCTCAGTGTTCACGGACGCATTTGCGAGTTCACGGTCGCCAAGACCGTGAACTGAGCAACGCGTCCATGAACTCAGAGCTCTATCTATAAAAGGGGCGTGAACGGCGACCCTTTACTTCACGACCAAATTCTCGCCAGGAAATTCAAATATTCGCCGGAAAACGCAAAAACCCGTCGTTTTTTCGATCTTTC